TTAAGCGAACCGATAAGGTGTCACTCAAGTCTTCCTGTTTGCTTGATTGAAACGTGATGTTCATGAAAGTAGCCTCGATGGATAAGATAGAGTTAATATACATGGCTGTGGTATTTGTTCTTTGCTGAGTCCCGTAGTTTTTCGTAAATTGTCCTCCAAAGTTGTCTCAAATTAATGTCTTAAAAAGTGTCACGACAGGCCTTCGCTCGAGTGAAATTTAATTTCCGTAAAACACTGAAAAATAAAGAGATCAGATCAAACGGATTGTGGTTTTAGTATAGGTACATAAATGTCTTACAACACACAAGAAATGAGCTAAATCTGTGTCTCAAGCAAAATCGACCGGACCGCTCTCACAGAGACACTCTCTTAAAACTGGAACCCAGACACCAAAGGGACTGTGTAAAATTAATTTAAGCTTTTAATTATTGCTGCAGACATATTAATGATTTAATTTTTGGGAAGTTTCTTTGTCACATAACCCTTCCCGACGGCAAAAGTGAATCGTTAAGCAGAAGAGCCACTGAGTCTCCTTAAAGTCTAATTTCTAATGAATTTCAATTTTTAACTTGACATCAAGAAGCCTTAAGTAATATTTGAAGAGTTTCCATACCCCAAACCCCTTACAATATGCCGGTGAAGACACACTCGGAAACAAAAAATAAAGGGGAAAACTAGCCAAACATTTAAGTTGAAGTTTCTGGACGTGCCGTTAGCTCACCTTCTTGTTTGTTTATAGGACCTTTTTATAACTGGCTGCCAATTATAAATTCTTTTGGAAGTGTTAAATATTGAACTGACTAATCTCGTTTTTGAATTGATAATTCAAAAAAAGGGCCTATTCTGATGGGAGCAACAGTCATTGATCCGTCAGTTTGAATTGCAATCACTCTTGCGTAAAAAACAAGTTTCAAGTTACTGTAGTACCATTCGGTACAGTGCCAACGGGTAAAACCTGTGACGGAGTAACTGCAGAATACCCGGCCACTCGAAGCTTTTACCCCTTAAAAACATGGATACGCGGCTACGCAGTTTGTGCACATTCTTTCTTCTATTCACGTTTTTAGAACGAGAAATAGACACACTACATTGTTACGCGGCTACACGGCTACGTGGCTACGTGGCTACGTGGCTACGTGGCTACGTGGCTACGTGGCTACGTGGCTA